CTGGCTCCCTGGAAAGGCTAAATTCCTCTCTTGGTCAGGGAAAGAGCAGAGGACTGGTACACTTTTCTTATGTTCTACCAGATCTGCAAAGGTTCCATTTGTATGTGAATCTTTTAAATGACCGTGAGAAAAGGCAGCCTGAGGTCAGTACTACAGTGGCAGTCAGGACATGGTTCCCTCGCTGGGAAGGATACTGCATTTTACACAGTCTACTTGCCCTAAGCAGCTTGGTGATGATATGAAGTGAATTGGGTGACACAAACTCCATCCAAATCCGCAGTATTTTCACTTTTCAAGTGACTATCAGAATAATGACATTTATAGAAGTTCTTAGTTTTAATTGTCAAGTTCACACTAGTAGCTTTTTGTAATCTGTGCAAAGAAAACAAATATTATTCTGAAGGTAGATCTTACTCTAGAGAGTCATATCTTGGCTAAACTGAATTAAGATAAAAGTTATTTACAATTATGCATCTAACTAGTGGCTTTTTTCCCTTGGATAACTAATATCACATGGAACGGATTATCCTTCTCTTTGAACATGATATAGGGAGTGTTGACCGACTTAAGGTGTTAGTCCTAACTTGCAAAACCATAAAGGTTGTGGGTATTCTGTGGGGTAGCATGGCAGCTGAAACTAGCTGATGAAGTGCATTACTAGCAAAAAGTCCTTCAAGAAAAATGAGCAACAGCTTGAAAAAGCTAACCTCCAGATATTGTACCCTGTTTCTCCACTCTTCTTGAGAGAAAAAGCTAGCAGCAATGATAATATATCAGTTCATCTGGGGTAAAAACAAGAAGCACAGACACAAAAATATCATTATTATTATTCACTGTAAGATCTTTATAGAATTCACATTAATCTGTATCCAACAGGTTCCTGAAAGCAGCTGAACTAGTTCATTCCTCTGAAGTCCTTGGCAATGCCCCACGCATTCACCAGTCTTTGAATTAAAAAAAAAAAAAAGGTTTTCCTCAACTGACTTTTCTTTTGGCCTATGGCTTACAATTCTCTTTTGCCTACCCCCAAAGCCCAGACTTTTCATGATAGTTCAAAAAATTCTTTCTATTGAACACCCTGAAAATATCAGTTAAAGCCCATTTAATCTTTTCTTCAAGCAAAAGGAATTGCAGCGTCCACTCTCCATGAATTAAGCATCCCTGGTGCCTAATCCAGCCAAATCTTACCTATGCAGGAGGTGTGGTAATTGCTTTATGGGAATTCTTCTCAAAAGCAACTCAACCCCTAGGCACATGGCCTGACTGCAGTGTTTTCTTGCCTTTCTACAGGCTCACCATTTTCTGCTGTTTGACATCCTGAATATCAGGGTTTTTTTCTTTGCTCAACTGTAACTTTCTATTCTTTTTAGCTTTTGGTGACAGGGGAGGGGAAGCACTTCTTATTTCAGCTTGGTTTCTCTTCTGCTGTTTCAAAACATTTCTTATTTGAAACTGGGCAAACTTGCTGACATGTAACTTTTCTGGATCTTTGAAGATTATTTTTCCAGGATTTGTGTTCATGAACTCTGCTTATTTTAGTTTGTCCTTTTAACACCAGTTGTACATGCTGCAGCTCGCAGTTCCACCCTTGTATTCTGTCTCAATATATGCAAAAATGTCAGTGATTTCTAATTCAGAAGTGTACGGGCCAAGGGCTGAATTTCTGTAATGGAGCTAGCAAGGAGAAATTGGAATTAATTTGCACTTAGTTATTCAGTGTGACCCAGTCTGGGTAAACACTAGCATTACCAAACAGTAACATAATCCTGACAAGCAACTATTTTAAGTTCAGATGAGTTCAATTTTGTGCCATAAATTTGAGAAATGAATCGTTTTCTTAAATCATCCCTGACACTTTAACACAGACAGGTCATTTGTATGAGATGTTTGAAGCTGATTTCAAATATTTGCTATCCATCACTGGAGAACATCAGATCTAAGCATACAAAATCCAGTTGCACATGTCAGCAAAGTGAGATTTTCCTCCCCCCCAACCATAAGGGCAATTTTCTCAGTAGCTGTAGTGGTTGTTTCCTTTGGCATGACTTCCAAAAGATTTTCTCTCACCAGCAGTGTAAATTTGCTCTGCCTTCTGTCCTTTACTTCGCACTATCTTAACCAAACCCTCTTCAGTTGAACCTGATGTCCTTTGCTGCAAGATAGTCAGTTAACTGCAGGACCATCTGCTGCATGTCCTTTGCTGCAAGATAGGACAACAACTCCTAACACAGTTTTGGTAGCCAGAGAAACAGTTTTTGTGTAGGACTCAGTTAAGGAGTAGCATCTGAGGTTTAATCTTAGGCACATTCCTGATCTAGTATTAAAATGTGTGTCATTTTAAGCTTATGACCACAGTAAACATTTTGTAAATTTAGTCTACTCACTTTCCACACTGGACAAACATCCAGAAATACTTTGGCAGAAATGTGCTCCAGAGAGTCAGCAGCTTCATGTGACCTAAGAAATGTTGGACAATAGAGCTTCTAGCCTATTGACAAAGCTGTATTTCAGCACATACCCCATCTTACTAGATCAAATAACCAAGCATTATGGTTCAATCTCCTGCTGTTGAAACTTCCCTCCTTGTGCACAGCTGCCATTTTCTAAGCAGATATTAAGCAGGACTTGACCTGGAAAAGCTGCTACAGAAAAGCAATAACTACTTTGGCACCTCAGGCAGCAGTGACAGATGCATTAGTCAAAGACAGAAGATAGATGATATCAAGAAAAGTAAGAAAATGGCAAGAAACAGAAGAAAAATATTGGTGCAACCCTTTGATATCAATAGCAGACACTCACATGTGCTTCATGTCATAATTTGCTATGAAATCAACATTTACAGGATATATTATTGCAAAATCACTTCTTCTGACAGCTTATTCAGGAAATGCACTAGTTTTCTTTTGGGGAACTGCAATACTGTGATAGATTCCCCACTGCTAAAAAACTGCTGTTGTATATTTCAGCCATGGGCTTAAAAGTATACGTCATATTCTGTAATTTGAAGAACTTGGTCAATAAAGATCATTAAACAACAACAATAGATGAGCCAAAGCTGGGGGTGGTGCAGCACTAAGAAACCATACACACAGAATTTTATTAGACATTGGACTTCCTATAAACTTTCTAGTAACTTCGTTTTCCCTTTGCCTTTATTATTAAATAAATTATACAGTAGTTGCACATTGTTTAATGCTATTTGTACAAATCCTCTTTGTATTTGGTGTCACCGAGCATCTGGTAACACAAACTTCACAAGGCATCAATAAGGACAGATGCTTTACTACATACTGTCTTTTGGGGTCCATCACAAAATCTGTCACAGGAGCTAGTAGCATTTGTACTTTGCTCCTGTACTTCGTATTTTGTTTTTCATCTTTTCTGTTTGTGTGTGGCATGTTTGATTCCAGAGATGTCCTGGAGCCAGCATGTATGCCACCAGAGCCAATATTGAATAGCAGAGAGTAGATTTATCTGTGAATTAAGAAGTTTGGATTCTCTCTGCACACCGAAGAAAAATTATTCGTTACAAACAGAAGCTGGTGAGAAGCCAGAAGCAAAAACTGCATCCAAAGTGTACAGAAGTGAATATTTTGCATCAGGTGTCACATCTGGAAACCCATCTGCATATAAAAAAATCATCCTCTGCGTGCTAGTACTTTTCAATTCACTTAGGAAAAGCTTAACTGTTACAGATTACAGTGGTGAATAAAATGAAGGGAGGGGATTTTGAAAGGTCTTCCTGTGAGTTCTGCTGAGTGTGTTTGAAAGGCTGTATCCTGCTCTTGGTATTTTACCGTTGGCCTTAACCAGAATATAACATATATTATCCCCCTAAAGACTATGTAGTGGGTGTTAGTCCTCTGCTGCCAGATAATACAAAGGTAATATAATAGTGTCAAGGGCCTATGAAGCTCATTTGATTAAAATGCATGTACCGGAAGCAGAAGACATTCGACAATTCACAAGTAAAAATAAAGACTGTTTATCAATAGCTTATAAATGACTTCAATTCTCAGGTATCTCATGTCATCCTTTGTCATGTGCAAATTCTCCAAACAGCAAGTGTGGGAAATGGTAATTAATGATGGGCCATAATTATCTTTCTTTATAACACTGTAAAAGGGCTGCAACATCCCCTTTTTTGGCACAAAGAATATTTTTATTATTTCATTCTTGCATCTTGTCCCTGACAGTTAGGTAGCTAGTATGATTATTTTACTAATCATCACTGCAACAAATAGTCATTGACTATATATCTGAACTAGTGAATATCACATCTGTATTAGAATGGAGCTCATTTAGTGGTGAATGATCCTATGTTCATACCAAATATCCAAGTTGTGGAAAATGTGTGCACTGAATCGAAGTTTGCTGAGGAGCAAAACAAAGCCCATGACAAATCCAGAAACTTAAGGTTAAGTTACTTAAGTAACAAGCTTCTGTGACTGTTTCACGTACTGTTATTAATGTACTGACATAAGATTGAGCTTAGCTTTGTCTTTTGTTGAGGATTTTGCTGTGTGTGGCACTGTACAGAGAGTAAATGCTGTCAATTTTCCCTAACACATTACAGGCTGAAAAACAGAATTTATGTGTAATAAAAGCTTCATTCTGCACACTGTTGGAAAGAAAAAAAAAAAGCAAGCGTAATGTTGTCAGAGAAATGCTGGTTATATGGACAGAAGATTATATTACTGTGTCCCCACACAGAGTAATTTCTGCATCTCTATAAAAACAACATAGGTGTTATGATGTCCTGCCCATTCTCCTCTACTGTGACATCCTCATTCCCTGGTACTCTTCCACATTTGCCCTAACCTTTCAGCAATATAAAAAAAAAATGAGATATGCTGGCTGACTTTTAAGTGGACCTTACGGTGTTATATGGCATTATCAGCTCCTGCCTAAGCAGATACTTTGACTGAGAGTCCAGCTTCTCAGTTCCTTTCCCTGGAGCAGAGTCTTCAGAGTGCACAGAGGAGCTGGACTTAACTTACAAGCAGTTCTGAAAACTTCAGCAGTGACCAACCATTTGATGAGCTGTCTGGGGTATGTCCACTTGATATTTTGCAGACAATGGGGACCTCACTCTGATTGCTGTCTGTAGTACAGCACTGAGCCCAAACCAGCGTATGGTATCTCTCCTTGGCATACGTTAACTCAAGAAACAAAACCAATTTAGTCATGTTCTACACAACATCTGGGTAAGTCAAGCATAGGTCAACAAGCTCGTACCTGCTCATAATCCCCAGACAAAAGTTAAAAATACAAACAGGCAGGGGATGAAATTAAACAGAGAGAATTGCAAGGCAGTATGTTTAAGTGATTATTATCAAATAAAAAAGTGCCTACAATGGAAGAACTGGGAAAGAAAATTACTTTAATAAAGAAGGATTGGAGTCTGTGGATCACAAACTGAATAACAAACTGTTGCAAAAATGGGCATGTGTATGCAAGAATATGGCTTGTAAGCAGCAATTTTTCCTTTCTCTCATCAGCCTGAACAGTTTGGGCAGTACAGATGGAGTTACAGATGTTTAGATGAATTGGAAACAGCCTACAGGAGAGTAAGAATGTGACTTGAATATCTGGAAAACATGAAAGGCTAAGTGAATTGGGACTGTTATAGCCTAAAAAGAAAGGATGATGAAGCCACACAGTAACAACCATCATCTGTAAGATGCTGTTTCCAGTAGAAGGGAGTCAGGTTACACGATTGGAAAAACTTTTTAAAAATAAAGATAGAGAAGCCCTGGGCTGCCTGCAGGTCATGTAGCCTTCATTCTTGGAGCGTTTTAATAACTGGTTATCCAAATATTTGTCAGGAGTGATATAAAGATCCTGCCTAGGCAGTAGAGGATGTGCTACGTGTCACTTCAAGGTCACCTTGAGCTCTGTGATTTTATGGAGGGCAAACAGAACAAGTCTGCAAAATACATCTCATACTAAATGTAGCCTCTCAATTTCACTGGAGAAGGATCACTCATTCATTTACTCGAACGTGCTTTGGAAGATCCCTACAACTACCTGTAATGTTCACTCAACCTATTAGGAAAAAAGCAGAATTAACTCTGGAAAACACTTAAAATGGGGAATTTCTTTAAATAGTATGATTCTGAAAGACCACAAAGGTATAGCCAACATACTACAGCTTCAAAGAAAGGTGAACTTCATCAGAAAGTTACTGCAACAAATGACTTGTTCACTCTCAAATAAACATAGAATTAAAAATAAAACCAGAAAGAGAATTCAAGCTTACTGCTTCACCAGTTTTTCCAAGGTTTCCTTGGTCTCCTTGTTCTCCCTGTTAAATGTAGAAAACAGATGATGCCGTTCATTACAAAAGTAATGTCTTTCATATGTGTATATTGAAGTCCTCTATTTTCCTAGGAGGCTTTTATTTTCTAAATTACAATTGTCTATTAAAACTTTAAAAGCTAAAATTAATCAACCAGCAAAAATTTAATTTTGTCAGTAGCTAATTTTGATTTTGTAAAAAGATGTAAGCGCTGTCCTAATGTATTTAAGGACTTGCCCACAAAAATGAAAACTATGTGTTAAGGGTTCACTAAATACATTAAGTCAGCAAATACTATAAATGAATGATTTTATTTTTATTTATATCTTCCTTTTTGCAAATTACCTTCATTATTTCACAATTGCTACAAAAGTGTGCACACTATTGATAACTTTAATTTTGTTATGAAATATTAGGAAAATTGACATTTGAATGACATCCTAACAAACTTCTCCCCCAAAAGCTTGGAACCAGCATTAAGTATTAGATTAATTAATTCTGTTCTTAATAACGCTGCAAGTCTAGAACATTTTGCTATGTATTTTACATGTGGAAGCTGAGTGTATATGCACTATTAATTATCTGGCTATGACTATAATCTCAGTGCCCTGATGAACAGTGATTTGAGTACTGTTTACTCAGATTGCTACTCAGCACTGAGAAATCTGCTGCCACAAGCTCCTCTTTCAAACTGCAGCACTTCATCTCACACCCCCTCACACCCCCAAAGTCTTGCCAGGGCAGGAACTGCCCAGGGCCCCTTATTGCTCCCAGACCCAGCCACCCTCACATCCCCAGGCAGTTAGATGTCATTTTAGCAGGTGCTGTCTTTGCTCACACATCTCTGTCTCCTAGAATTGCATCATTTCTTTCTTTTCCAAAATGGGGTCTTGCAAGAAAGCAGAATCACCAGTATGATATACATTTATATTATGTGGAAGCATGTGTACTCATATCCTTTCACTGGCATGCCACTGTATGTAGCAGTGTATAATTGTATACAGCTGACACTCCAAACATTTTATTTCATACATAAAACTATCACTTACCTTTAAACCTTCCAGTCCAGGATCACCTACATAACCTTTCTGTCCCGGCTTTCCCTAAAATAATGATTAGACTATTGTAAATATTTTATTTTTAAAAGATAATTTCATCCCAATCCCTTTATTTATCAAAATATTGCACTCAAAAATGTACGTTTTAGTAAATATTTAATACTAGCTTTTGAAGCTAGTGTATTTATAAACCCACGTTTTAAAATATACTGTGGACTATTATGGCAAATACTAGCACAGTAATCAGAATCTGTACTCACTCTCACAGCAGTTAACATGGAGGAAAAACAGACACAATCCAAGAATCAAACACATTTCAAAATTTGACTTTAAAAAACATATTAAGATGACAAAGAAAAGGCAAGGTCACGTTCTCTCCTGGCTAATTCCAGCCGAACAGGGACTCACACTAGCAATTTGATGTTTAGGCTTCAGGCACTAGTGTCGTAACTGTCCTTCCTCAACCAGACAAAATCAGCTCAAATACTCTCTCCTCTTTGTTCATCAAATTGATTATTTTAAGCCTCATCTCTCTCCACTAGCATTTTGCTGCTGATAGACCTTGTTGTTATGATACTCAGTTAATACCATATTGTTACCTGGAAGAAATACAGCAACATCAATCAGAGCAGGAGGCCATGAAGTGATGAGATCTTTGAAGCGTTTTATAAAATACATCCCTCCATCTGTTGTCACTCGCACAGACCCACAAAAGCATAAAACCCAGAATGCTCTTCTCCTGAATTTTCAATTAGATGTTTATAACTTAGTTATGTCTCACTTTTAGGAGCTCGTTTTCCCTCCAGGTATACTTTACTTCCTCTACAACATAAAACATGGCCTAACCATTTGGTTATCTGAACAGTATTGCCCTGCCTAGACAAACTTTCCCCATCTGCTCTGAGGCAAGGACTCTAGCCCAAAAATAAAGGTCCCATGGACTGGATCAGGCTCTTGAGCAAGTTGCTAGAGATCACTGAAGCTTGACAACTGGATAAAGAAAATGAATTCAATATTTTAATGATTCAGTAACAAAAAGATGCAGATTTCTGCTAAAAGGAAATTATCAGCTCTTGTTCCAGCAAACTGAATAATTGCAATCACCGGACTCTGTAATGAGAGCTTTCCTTTTCACATCAGCTGTCCTGAGACAAGAACAACTACAGCAACAGATAACAAACAGGTTTCTTAAAAAGAGATGTGATTTTTCCATTTTGCTCTTTTGCTCTGGCTGCTCTGCACCTGTGTTTCAGAGCACAACGTGTGTGTTAGTTTCTGGGCATCTAAGAAATTCTCTATATGGCTTAAAATAATATTGTCTTAGTAGGTTCCATGACTTCTCATATTAATCCTTTTTATCTCTCCCATTCTCTCTCTACCTGCCTGAGTGATTTCATTCTGACCTGCAAGTTCCAACTAATATCACTGTTTTAGGAACAGACTTTTGGTTTTGCCAATGAATTAAAACATGGCACATCCAGGAATGCAGAGAGAAAAGATCGTGAAGAGAAGTTCTGAGAAATCCAGATAAAGCAAGCCATGTTCTTCCACAAGGCGTAGCAAGAAACAAGTGATGGACTTCTGCAGGCTACTACATGCTGTTTAACTGCTTTGCTGCAAAGAACCTTAAGGTCTTTCTTGGAGCAAGACTGTAACATAAAAATGTTTTAAACAAAATTCATTGGAAGAAAACTAGTGGCCACTATTAACTACCTTAATAATTTTAGTCCTATCAGAAGTGAATTGGAGTTACAACTTGTAAAGGTTTCTTGGATGCAGTACCCCAGCCACATACTAGCTGCAAAGGACACACAACAGAAGCAAGTTGATCAGAAAATGGAACAAGTGGATTTAACTGGTAAAGCAATTTGAAACATACAGATTTGGCTTTAAACAGAAATGCAATACAGCTGTAAATTGCACATCAAGGAAAAGCCACTGATAGAACATTAAACTAGGGATGGCTGCCTTTCTGCTTGCAAACCCCTGAGAATTAGTCTTCCTTTGGGATTATTCTGCCCTGAAAATGTTGGTTTCCTAAAATATTAGCTGGAAGTTCTGCCCTTTCCTTTTAGGAAGTAGCAACCACCTGTGCTTCCTTTTACCTCACAATGGCTTGATACAGGTGTGTGTATTTTAATATGAATATCTCTCACTATCACTCTATTCCCATGCCTCCACAAGCTCCTCACATGCCTTCAGCCTACAGCAAGACATATACCACCTTCAGAAAACACTGCACTGTGGGAGTGGGGCAGCTTTGAAAGCACTTTCCTCTGTCTTCAGGAGGAACTGCTCACCTTATGACTATATATATACCAGCTTTTGTTTTGTACAGGGATCTCAAAAAGCAATCAACTCACAACAATTCCTTTTTACACTCTGTTTAAAACAACCTCCCCCCATTAGAGGCATTTTCTGCTCCAACAGTGAAGATACAAGAACATAATAAAATGCACCATTGCCTGCACTGAGCTGAGCTGCACTGACAGTTACAGTGTTAATATTTAGATAGCCTTTGAGAAAGAATTAACTGAGAGGAAACTGAATAAACACAGTCACATCTTTAATGCGGCATCTACTGTAATTTCACAGGACAAATAAAGAAATACTAAAAAAAAAAAGTCAGCTTTTTTAATTTAGAAGGATTAATTTAAGAGAATGTAAGTATTTGACTTTGGAATAGAATGGGTAGGAAGGTTTGGAAAGGAAAGAATAAAAAAAAAAAAATCAAATGGTGTGATCAGATTCAGCTCAAAAACCTCTTCCTAAATTCAAACAGGTTGAGCTCTGTGGAACCTAAGATATATCCTGAGTAAGCAGGGAAGCATCCTTAGTTTTGGCTCCAGTTCTTCTAGACATTTGGGAATTCTTTTCCAAGGTGGGACCTGGTAACTGGAGTGCAGGTTCATATTCATCTTCTGTTCCAGTAGAGGATGATGTATTTTGCTAGCAGCATTGTTCAGGTGGGACCCAGGGGTTCTTAGTTTCATGCACGTTTTTTAAAACAAATGTTAGAAACAAGTGCAGGAGTTGGTGGGGAGGAGAAAAACGAGGCAAAAACTTATGGCTGCCTGCTTGGTGCTTGCCTAAACCTGAACTGAGGGCTGAACACTTTTACCTGAAAACTACACAGTAGAAGAGATGAGGAATTCCAGAAGCAGTAGAAACATGCTCTGTTACTGTCCAAGAGAAAACTAGAACAGTTTAATAAATAATCAAAGGTCTACCATGTATCAACCTACAAGGAAAATGGAAATAAAGCCTATATAATTAGAACAAATGTGAAATTTTAATCAAGCAAGCATAATTTAAAGAGACAGATGTGTTCAGCAGCTTACTGACTCAGTCCTGCTAAACTGTAACAGATTTAACAACTTCATGATTGGGACTTTCTCTCTCTCCAATGTAATCACACAGTCTATGCTCCAAACGGGAGTGAGGAAGCAAGGACAAGCAGAGATGGGAACAGAGTTCAGAGCAGCAGTGCTAATAAGTTGGCCTGGAGCTGTGAAACAGCTGGAGCCAACAGAAGCAGTAGAATCCAGGCAAGAGCAGATGGGCCTCAAGACAAAAGGAAAAAACAGCCAAGGCTCCCCACCAAGCAAAATTCCCATTTCCCCTACGTCTCATTTCAGGAGGGGATACTAGCCAGCAAGCCACTCAAAGATGTCTGGAGACATGCTGGGGCCCACCTCAGATCCACATACTCTTCTCTGAACAACTTGTTGAGACAGAAACCAGGAAGCCATAAGACAAGCCAATGGTGTGCACATTTCCCATTGAGAGAAATCAAAACCAAAATAATTCAGGTCAAACTGACCCAAAATAGATTAAAAATAATTCAGTTTGCTAGGTTACACAGAATTTTTTCCTCTTGGGTCACTTTGACACCAGCTGATAATGGCCTGTGCATGCCCAGTGATGCAGAGAATGTGAAGGTAGGTGTCTCATTGCCCATGAGTCACCCACTGCAGCATCTTCTTTTCCAATTGCCACAGCACAACATGGGAGATGCTGTCCAGCCATGAAGACCTGTCCAAGGAGGAGACTCAAAAAGTATGATGCAGCCAAAATAAAAATTTCCATGAGGCTTTTGGCTGAATCTCAGGCAGATTAAACTGAATATTGAACGGAGTCACAAAGTGCTTTGAAATTCTGTTCAATTTTTTGCATGTTTTCCTCAGCTAAAAAAAAGGGGGGTTTTGGGTTTTGTTTCTTTTAACACCCAATCCATGTGGCAAATAAGCATTTTAATATTACTTCTAACTGAAAGCAAATTCCCAGCTTTGACTAGCTAATAAACAGGAAAAATGACATAGAAATATATCCACTCTAGAACCAGGAAACAATGGGAAAGACTTTCCCAAGTTCATGCAAGAAATGGGAAGTCATCCAAAATGAAGACCAAGCCAGTGATTACCACACACAAGCAAATCAAGTAAAGGCAGAAGATCATACTGCTTTCAACAAACTTAGCGACACTCCCACAGTGTATTCATTTTTAGCTTAGAATTCTTCTAAAGGTAAGCTTCAAGTTCACTAAAATACTCTTAGACACTAGTACATCTTTATAACTAACAAAATTCGTTGTTAGTTTTAAACTTTTATCTTTTAAAAAACGTCAGCACAAACAGCATTGTGACACTCCAGCTTTACTGTTTTCAACAACTGTCTACCAGATCAGTTTGAAAATTATTTCTTAAAGCATCAGTCCTTTATATTTCTCCTTGTGAGATGAGTCTCATGGTGGGTTCTTCCCCAATTTAAATATTTTGATATATCAGCTGGTTCAGTCCCTAGAAAGCGCATCATGGTTTTACCCATCTCAGAGGAGCATCCCATAAGCAGTCTGTTACTGACTCTTTCCTTTTCAAAAATTTTATTTTGTGCACCATGGCTGTGATTTCCTTTCAAATCCTACATTTGTCCTCTCCCAGCTCTCCTTTGAGCATGTGCTGAGGGAAGAAACATATTTATGCAGGAGATGCCATTTTAACACAGTCACTTCTCACAGTAAATTTACCTTTTAAAGCAGTACTTCTGCTGAAAAATAGTCTGCCCTAACAACATTACTTGTACTTACTCTTGGGCCGACTCCTCCAACAGGTCCAACTGGTCCTACTTCTCCCTAAAAGAAATCAGGACTTGAATATTCTTGATGCTAAGTCCAGCATCAAGCTATACTATCAGTATACCGAGCATTATAGCAATATTTTCACAACTTGAAGAGGGGAGAGACAGAGGAATTATGGGTCAACCTCTCTGTCTGCCCTGCAGTTACTCTCTTCTAGCAACATTTGACACTTCATGACTATAAAAGCAGTAGGAACATCCCTGCTTTTCTCCTCCATGTTGCTATGGCACAGCCACTAAGTTAGCCAAGCCATTTTTCCTGGATTTATCATTGTCTTTTCTCAGGGATGGAAGGAGGTTGGGGTCAAGCTTGTCAGGTGTGTAAGAGAAGAAATGAGACACTGTGCCTGTGTTGTGCAGTGCACTGATATAATTATGCATGATGGGGAACTGCAGGGTTAACTCTTCAGCATTCATTCGTTACAGTTATATTAAAGCATGGATTTGTATCAATGCCATGCCAGGATGTCATGCTGTGATCATTTTATGGTTCACTGATCCTCCTCAATACAGAATATTTTCTTCAGCTTTTGGAGGATGTGGTATACAACCTTTTCAATTACAAGCAATAGAAAACAGAGGCGTTAAGAAATCCTATCTGCAGCTTCCTGGCTTTAACTAAACAGATCATTTTGACACTGTTAGCTTTTACTCACTCAGTACCTACCATGGAAGCTCATCATTAAGCTACTTAAAAGTCTAGAGTTATATCCCCAGAATCACCGATTAAATTATTTCTAATATTAATTACTTTTAGCCTAAGAGACATGAGTTTTTGTTTTTATGATGATGAAATAAGAATACTCAATAAATTTGTAAGACAAAAAGCTGCTTTCCTCCCTTTCAATTAATAGGGGTCTAACTGCTCACTTAAGTATATCTAGGATACTGTAATTAAATTGATATATGGTTTCTATCTCCATACCACCACCCCCATCTCCTCAGTTCAACTAAAAGAACCACATCCGACTCTGGACGCATACTACCTGTGATTCCACCAAAGTAACTGAAATAAACCCTGTAGAGGATGCACAGCCCAGTAAGGCTGCTGAAACCTCTTTGTAACTCATGCCAACATGCAAAAGGAACTTGAATTTTTGCTTGACAACACCATAAGCACCTAACCACTGTTGTCTAACCCTCTTACTCCTCACAACTTTTTCTTTTAAACATAATCTCTTGATTGGATAGTTTTTCCATCTTACCTCAACTCCTTTGGGTCCTTGTGGCCCTGGAGGCCCTCGGTCACCCAGAAGTCCCTAAACATCCAAACAAACACAGTGAGAACTTATATCAGTGAACAACCAGGTTGGTCTAGTTTCTCTCTTCTTACAAATCTCAACAAAAATGCAAAACTGAGGAAGCAGACCTCATTTCTTACCATTGTTCTTAGGATTTCCCTTAGGAAGCCAGGAGAAGATGCAGCAGAATTTTAGTATCTGCTGGAAAACCGTGTATCTTACAAATTTCTACTACATAGATTTTTCTGAAGCTTTTTTCTTTTATCTTTTTGAAAAGGGAATAAGAAAATATTGGAGCTCACAAAAGAACAATTCCTCTTTTTTGAATACATAAAACACACCATCATATTAAGATTAAAGCAAAACCCATGCAACTCTTATAGAACTTTTATGTAGGTAGTCTTTAGCCTAAAATGTGATGACATCATTGCAATGAAAATGAACTACAAAGTGAATTTAAACTGCAGCTTGTCCAAAATGCCTTGTGATTTTCAGCTCTTACTTTTCTGTCAGTATTATAATAAGCTTTCCAGAGATAAAACACCTTATCCTCTACCAACTCTGAGTTTTCATGACTGCTCACACCAACATTTTCAAAACTTTGTTAAAATGACTTCACAGCTAGCAGCGTGTCGAAAATCTCGGTCATCCCAATTACAATGGTGGTAATTGGGATAAGCACTTGACCTGGCATAGGACAAAAAAAATAATCTGTGTAAACATATTATTAATGTTCTGGGAAAGTTAAGCTTAACAATATCAGATAAAGCAAGAAGAACAAAGAAACTGCCATTTAGGAGAGATACGATTAGCCTCCGAAGAAAGCAATGGTGGGAAAGTTCCAAGCGTAAGCCTTATTAATTGCTTACTAATGAAGCTGAAGTCTAGACAGAAGGTGCAGGCATTGGTCCAGTAACAGTTTACTTAGCACACAAAGTAAAATGGAACAGAAAAGAGAACAGGCCACCTCAAGGTACTGTCACAAAAGTGACAGGAGGGCTTTTAGTAGCACTACATAAGTAATAATAATTACCTAAGTAATGTTCCCGTGTAGTTAGTCACCAAAATTTTTCATTGACAGAACTGTTGTTTCATTCTAATAGCAAAGCTTGTTAAGAGATACAAGCTTTCAGTACGATGTAATTGCACAGTGGAAATGTTAGCAACACTGCTACTGTACACACCCTTCCACTGCACTTAAATGGATGTGGGAAAAAGTCCCAGACTGCAAAATTAATATTAAGACTAAATTAAATTTCTATCTCCCCTTTGAGGTTTCAGGCAACAAACAGAAAATGAAGGTAGTCATTAGACATGTGCTAAAGTATCTGGAAAAAATTGGGGGAGTCAGCAAATGGGGGTATCCTGTATTTCACATACATAACTTCCCAGTTGACCACCCCTTCCAGAAGTGGTGAAACTCCTAATAGCCACTTCTATTAAATGTGTTATCCAAACAAACATAAATGAGCAGGGGAAGGAAGTTCTCGACTACTACCATGGTGCAACACACACTGCTGGAAAGACTACAGTTGTAGTCAGCATATTCTGACCATCTTTTCCTCTCACTTTTCTTGGTTACAGAGCATAAATACTTGCAAGAATAACATAGGAAACTAAACTATTTCAGAACTTCTTAAAAACATTTTTATTTCCTTTTTTAAAATGTAAGTGTGCTTTTTTTTTTAATAAGTCGTAGATCAAGATCAAACACTTTCTAAAATACTGTTTCCAAGCTGAGTAATGTGCTGTAGACCAAATTACATAATGAATCCTTTGAACATTATTTTAGAGAGGTCAGATTTGCTGATTACTGCAATAATTTAGGGAAAATTGACAATCCAGAACTTCTACTGGTATTTAGAGATGGCTGATCACATTCACAGCTTAAAATCTCCAGCCAGAGGCTGAATTTCTCCTATGCCAACTACCAAAAAAAAATGAAAGCTTACCCTGCTTTCTTGGCTTTTAAAATGGGTATTGCTTCTGAGGAAGCATAAACAAAAACATGAGGAAAAGAGCAGCACAGTGAGAACAGTTTTCTAAAAATAAAAGCTGGAAGAAATTTTTTAAAACTGCAGTCAACACAAGACAGCTGGGAATCCCAAAAGCCAAACATTTCCAGTGTTATGCAGCCCTTATTCCCGTGGTACTAGGAGCAGGGTAAGAATTTTTCCAGTTGGGTAATCTTCCTTCTCAAATGTAAGCCATGATTTTTCCCTGATTAGGACAGGCTGTTTTTTCCCCCCTAAGACCAAATGTACTGGGGACCACTGAATATTGTTCAGCTATATAATTTCTGTATCAAAGGAATACAGAGTCTTAAACTTTGTAGGCTACCTTTTAGTACTTTTTTGCTGGAATCCGTGAAAAGGCAATAGATCAGTAATATGTAATATATAATAAAGTATCTGGATATAATGTGGAATAATATGATCTCAGTGAAGAAACTGGACAGCAGGGATTAGATCTCAGTTACATAATTCATGTATCAGCTTGGAGGATTAAATCTGATCTGCAGTTCAAGAACTCTTGTATTTCTCCCATTTCCCCTAGACACAGTCGGGCATCAAAACATCTTTTTAAGTGCCCTGGTAATTCAGAAACACAGAAGCAACTGCCACTGCAATGGTCAGATAAACTGATTCATATGTGGCTGCTAACATTATACATACATATATACACACAATTTAGCAGAGCAATAAATCAGAACTAAAGAAAAAATCCACATCTGTCTCTGGAAATGTATTTTAACTTCTCCTCAATTTGCTGTATCAGATAATGAGTTCTCAGCCTTCCTAGTAAATCCATGTCTGGGTTATTTTGGGACAAGGCCTTTCACACAGCTGAAAGATATGAGATGCTGAAGAGATTGGCTATGGCTTTGGCAACTGGATTATTTCAGATGATGATTAACTTTGGCATGGAAGGATTGTTACAATCTTCCAGGTACAAATAAGACTGTTTCTTTAAACTTTTTGCTGCTCCCTGTCTTATGTTTTCTTGAGTAATCTGCCACAGAATTTCACAACTCTGTTGATGGGAAATCTTGTAATTTCCACCTCTGTTTATTCATGGACAACTTGTATGTTTTGTCCTTGGACCAGTGACATCATTGGTCTTGCACAGTTCTTTTGCCTTACCAATTTCAGCTCTCTGGTTTACTTAGAAAGTTCAAAAAGGCCCTTCATTTTGGTAGGATAAATAAAGTGCCTCTCAGAATACAGTCATTCAAGTATCCTTTTCTGCATCTAGTCCCACTTGATTGAGTCCTCCTAGAATACAAATGCCCAGAACTGTGTGTACTATGTAGATGAAGTCTTCTTGTGCTTTGTGCATTGCTGCATGTGTTCTAGTATTTCACTTAATTTCTAACTGTCTTATTGCGTTTTTATTTCAGAGAGATCTAGCAGTAGCTTTCCTTCTTGACAGGTGCGAAGCTCTAAGTTTACAGTAGGATTTATTGTTTCAGTCTCTGCATGCATCAGTCTGAAGTAATGGAAGTGGGATGAATTAGTACAAAGTACAGGTTTTAAGATTATCTAAGATGCTCAACTTTGTTTCATATACAAACTTCATTCCAGCATGCTTGTGCCTATTTATCAGTGAAAAAACAATGTAAGAATAGTCCCATATTATTCAATCATCTTCCTCTGGGCTAATTTCTGAGCCACCTGCACTTTTTGTACTTGTGTCTACCTTTTCCATTTTAAACAAAAATTTCCCATATGTGCTTTTATCCAAAGCTTCATTGAAAACTCTATCATGTCAATTATTGACTAAGCTTGGTCTAAAATATTAGACTACTAAAGAACAGAAGCTAAAGTAATCTGACAGTCATTTTTTTGTAGATAAATTTTATCCATTATTATGTATATAATTTTATCCATTATTTAATCTGGTGTGTGAATTCTATCAGTTTTTCCATATCTTTAGCTACTATTTCTTTCAAAATTTGTTTTAAAAATTTTGTATTACTCAGGTGAGACTATAGAGATCTGCATGCATTTTATTTAAATATAGGTGAAATATATGCTACTTTCTAGCTATGTCGTGTTTTCTGCAGATTTCCTTGCCTTAACTTGCCATTACATGCTTCCATCTAACAGAGTAATTACCCTCATAACTGCGTGGACAGCATTAAACATTAGATTAACTTTCTCATATAAATATCTGAGGCGAAATATCTGTATTTTGAGAGTAATATTATCTTCTCATAATGCCAGTGTCCATCTCTCAGAGCTTTTCTTCAGAGATTTATACTGTTTATAGTTATTATGAATAAGTTTTCATATAGTCTTACCTTAGGACCTTCAGGGCCATTTAATCCAGGTACACCAATATCTCCTGGAAAACCCTAAAGAATTTATACAGACAAATGATTTACAGCATAGGAATGTTTCCAGTGTACTTGTTTTGATTCTGTTCATTCATTTAACAAACCTGAATCACAGAAACAAGAAATAAATTTGTTCTACCATTGCCAAAATGTCAAAATCCATTAAGTTTCCTTGAAAGGACTTGGATAAGTGACATATATTAGGCAGCTTTCATTAAACTCAATTTAGCAGATGTCAGTATGGGTTTCATTTATCTTAGCATAAGACTTTTTATCCACTAAGCAACATTTGAAATTAAACTATTGGATTGGTCTTGATGCACAAAAAAACCCCCACAAAGCAGCCAGCACCAGATCCTGTACTCATGAATTCAACTATTTTTAAAAAAAAGCTTAGAGATCAGCTGAAGCTCTTTAATCCTTGGCCGCACTTTAAGGACGAGATCACTGCAAGATTAAGAAAAGGGTAGAAAGCCTTTTGCCTCCAAATCAGCAGGTACTAATCCAGGTCTAGTTGGCAGTAACTGAAGGTCACCAGCATGTAGCATTATTCAGAATATGCCTTTGTGAAATGGTGTGTGGTATAGGTCCAGCTGTTGGTAAAGAAAAAATAAATGTGCAAAGGAAGTGAATGTAGGATAAAGTAAAGCATTGGCAATTGACTCTTTAGTTAGCACAGGGCTCACTCAGTCACCTACCAAGATGGTATTTGATTTTGTTATTTTTATAAACTTCAAAATGTCCCTACATCTTGCCTATCCGAAAAAAGAAATCCTGCTACTGAAAAGTTCTTCCTCTGAGTAAAATATTTATTACTACATCTGTGCACATCCATTGCCTGACACAAGTAAAAACAAGTTTCCTTCTTCCTTAAGAGAAAATCATTGCCAATTAAAAATTACACGTATCACTCTTTGCATGCATACTTTTTCAATAATGGAAATGAAAGCATCATACACATTCTGAACAACTTAAAGAACATCTCAAAGAACTTCCAGCATGAAACTCTCTCTGGCACCCTTCCATACTAATGCAGGCTAATACATGTCATCATTAAAGCTTCAAGAGCCACTTTTTAGGTTCTCTAAGCAGAAAAAAGGTATTAAAAAAAATTACCTCACTAGGTGGACAATAATTAACCATACTTTATTCTTCCACAACAGCCGAGTTTCAAATACAGCTAATAACCATTTCTAATGATTATTCCAAATTAGCTGAGATTAATCATAAAAAACCTTACCAGAGAGGTAAAGAGAAATCATACTAAAGCAAGAGGTTTACAAGAAAATATTATTTCACCCTCAACTGCCATGCTATAATAAAATTTAAAAAGTATTTATGGCATCACTGTTCTTACTTGTAGGGCTTTCTCCTGTCTGCTTTCTATAACCTGTTCTTAACAGGATGCAGAGAGACTTATTAGTAGAGATTTAGATGGGATGCAAACTTTTTAGGTGTGTTTATATATTAAATAAAAAATAAATGTATAAAACAAAATATGAAACAGAATTATGATTTCTTTAAAAAAACGGTTTAGCACTTGAATGCTAATGAGCACTAACAGAAACCACTAAAGAGTAAAAAAGAACTGATCTTAGTTTTCAGAATAAGTAGAACAACCCTAACACACAGCATTTCACAAAACATTACGGTGGTAATTTCTTTTTGCCACAAAGCAGTAACTACTAGTAGAGCTGTGCAACAACTCCAAGATGCCTCTAGGTGGCACATAGCATATTAGTCACATGTGACCAAGGCACCCAGTCTGATGCCTGAAGTACTCTTATCAGCCTAGATTTCTGTACAGTTCATAAGAGGTATTTTTAAAAATCCTGACCACACATATAATTAAATACACTGAAGAGTTAGTCAATTCTTTTCGAAGTTGCTAACTCATCCTTTCTAATTTTAAATTTGCTTATTTACAGACATTCAATAGTTACTGAGGGGTTGGTCTGGTGGCAACTAAGCACCATGCAGCCGCTAGCTCGCCTCCCACTCCGAGGAGGGATGGGGAGAGAATTGGAGAAAAGCCTCATGGGTCGAGATAGAAACCATTTAACAGGACATGAAAGAAAGAGGAAATAATAAATAGTAGTAGCAGTAATAATAATAATAATAAAGGAATATACAAAAGCAAGCACAATGCAGCAATTGCTCACTACCCGGTGATCAATAGCCCATCTCCAAGGAGTGATTCCCGCCCCCCGGCCAATTTAGGAAGAATTGGAATTCGGTAAGAACTACAAGAAGTAAGTGTTGACAAGCACTATCACAGTTAGAACAATCATGACATTTGGAAACCTTTCCAGGCCAGGCAAAGTCTGAGGATGCGAGAGGGCTACTGGCCTGAAGCATCAACACTATAGCAATGCAGTTGAAAGTTTAAAGTCTTCACCATTTTTGACTTTGTTGTAAAGCTGAATTTAGTCTTTTCCTCTCGAGCACTACCACAGAGAAAATGCAGATGCTATGGCAGTATTAGAATACTATTTTCAAGATGTTCTCACATTAATAATCTGTGAGATAACTAATAATCCAGGACACAGATAGCCACGTAAAACAATTCCAGAAAACAAATGAACTGGAAAGGAGTTCTTAAAACGCTTCAGCAACGGTGTTTGCCATTCAGATTCTGAGTAGTGAAGTGATATACATTTCTACCTATATCTGAATTTGCCAAGAGTTATCCAGTAGCCAGCTCCCAGCGAAGCTACTACAGATTAAAAATTCATTATTCTTCTATAAGTGAAAGGCCAGAAGATCAATGTATAGTTTCCAGATGCAACATAATTTTCAGCAGAGACTGTTCGGAACAAAGCATCATTCAATATTATGACTTCTACTAAGGAAATGTGAAGTGTAGATTCTGATCTTCCCATTAGCCAGAAGCCTGGCAGCTGGCAGGTTACAAATTATTTTCAAAATCTTGCTGCAGATGTGGCCTTTTGCCAGCAAAGCACTTTAGACTTCATTCAACTGAATCACACTAGAGGTGGTGTCAGAAAAACCCGAAGCATGAGCCATCACAACACAAATGTGCTTTAACTTTGCTGGGAAAGTGTTGCTTCCTGTACTGACTACATTTAAACATAAATTTACATATATATTGCTTTCATTTTTCTATATGATTTTTAATTAACAAAAATGCAGGGATGATCAGACTGCTATTATGCCAGGGTATGTCTTTTTGTACTGAAGTCAGTGCCTCAGAGATGAGCAATCTGCCAAGGCTGTTGCCTTCCTTTTGCTTGTTTTCCTGTGTGGCTACTAACACAGGAGCAGAATATCAGAAATGTTTGGAAATTACACTTGGAAATGTCTTACATTTGCAGAATCCCACTCACTCCAAGCTGTTTCCACAGGACATTTGCCAGCATTGCAAATGGGTCACCGACCCTCAGACCCTCTAGCTCCCCAGCAGCCCTCGATGGCACTGGGACACGAGCGCTGGTACAAGGGCACCACAGAGCAAAAACCTCTCCAGGGACTGTAACGGTCCCTTCAGTTGCCAAGTTTCCTTGCTCCAATATTATTTCATTCAATCACATGCTGTGTTTCATATGAATGAGAATTTAGCATGAATTTTGAGAGGCAATACTGACTGGATACAGCTACAAGTACAACAAGAAACCTTAATAGAGCTTTATTACTAATTATTATCAAATTACAAAAGGAAGATTTCTGCATAAAACTACAATCTCTCTAAACTGAGAAAATAAGCTGTGATTTTGTATTTTCAAATAAGAAGTGTTTATTATTCTTCTGAAAGGACACCCTATACAGAGATACAATTCAATAAAAATAAAAATATATTTTTTTCTCTGCACAATTTTAGAGATGTCAGTATTCACACAGTTACAGGACTTTTCTCTTTGACATTTATACAACTGCATGACAGTGTCAATAATGTGCCAAGTACAAACAGGAAAGTAGTAAGAAAAAAAAAAGATTTGAAATGAGCTCTCAACTGTGTGTGCCAATCTATCCAAAGTTTAATGCCAGCATTTTTGAAGGGCAGAGACAAAACTTTAATTTTTTCCTACAAACCTTCAATTCTGATTTTGGAAAGTGTGGAGGAAGGAATCTAACAGTATAAATTACAACTGTACAATTGCAAGTTCTCAGAGAACAGAAAAAAGGGCAATCATGGATTACAGGATGCAATACAGGAAAGCTTTGCAATTTACTGTTGCTAAGATGTCAGTGAAATGATGCTGATGTTGCTTTGTGCTTTTGTCTAATTGCACATGGCAGACTGATTTTCTTGTGAAAGACCTAAAGTCACCAGCTCTCCAAATGTGATGCATCATCCTTTAAAGCCATCTAGTGCATCTAATTATTATAGGCAACACACATTAGAATAATTGTATTTTACAGAAAGTAGTACCTAGTGTTATCTACTTTATAGCATGAGCAAGGCCCTACACCAGCCCTTCAAAACATGTCCTTCATAAACCTGCTTGGCTGCTTGATGGCCAAGAAGGTGGCTGGTGATTCACCTGACTGACCAGCACAGCAGCACTGGCCACCAATCAACATATTAAGGACCAAGTCTCAAAGCATTCTGTAAGTCTCCAGTGTGAAAAATTAAAAGCTTTGGTAAGACCTTCAGTGCACACCCACTGTAAGGATCAGACAGTATTTCCAGAGAGATCTTGGCGCAGTTTAGTTAGAGCTACACAAGCTGTTGAACTCTTAACAGTCTCCCTGTCTGCCCTGAAGACTTCCAGTAGGCAACCCGCAAGATGCACCATGGAAGAGGTGATCTGTTGGACAATCACGGCCCAAGGAGACCTCAGCCACCTGACCAATTACTTTGAAAAAGACTCAAAAATCAAGCCAGTCATTCAACATCAACAGCTACTTTTGTGGAACTTCCCAATACATCTAATAACACTAAGCAAAGCTATCTATATTTTAAAATTTTATTCTGACTTATGGTGAAAACAAGCATCAAATGTGGGCATTTCATAAAGGGCAGAAATACCAGATTATGTATTTATTTTAAAATATTCAGGCTCATTTTTGTGTTACAAGTCCTCCAATAACAGTTAAATGACTAAGGTCTGAGGACTGGGTCTTCTTTCAGGCATGCTTCTAATGATATGACAGTGTGGTTAGGTACAGATGTAAATCATCAGGAATAACTCTGTGCATTTTGAAAGTCAAGTATTCCTAACCTTAAGCCTTAGAAAAGAGACTAGTAACTAATAGTCAGTGAAATAACCCTTGTATAAGAGGAACTTCTGTTACCTTGCACAAGGATTATCTCAATGTATGTTGCTTCTATGCTGCTAACAATGGTGTGCCCACGCAGACCACATCTAGACTAAGGCCAGACTGAAAAAGTAAGGCAGAAATTTCAAATTTCTTTGCAAGACTACTGTTTCTTCTAAGATCAACACCAAAACCCAAGAGCCAAAGCAGCGCAGGTGTTTAAAACCAAATTAAAAACATTTGAATATTAGCTTGCCTTACTCTAGACAAACTCGGAATGTTAGGAGCTAGATAATGTCCTGGTAAACCAACGCAAATCAAGTTTTGTTTATTTGCATGTCCCTTCTTTTCTAGTGAAGTCTCATGACAGCTCTGCCTGAAAAAGGAAAATCGCCAAGATAAACAAATTCTATGCCAAGTACCTATGAAGGTCTGTGGAAACAGACTAGGACCTAAGAGGCACAAACTGAAATATCATAATCACTCTGAATATAAAACACAGGAAGGTCACATGAACAAGTATTGTTCAACATTGTTAAGAAGTCAAGGTAAATTGACTATTTCTGCAAAATAAATATATATCTATTTTAAAAGATCATAAAGATGTACTTATGTCAAATAAATTCATGAAAGGACCAGTTAAAGATTTTGTGCAAAGGCAAGCAGAAAGTATAAGCAATTCTACAAGAACAGTTCTTCAGATCTATGCCAGAACATGCAATTAATTCAGCTATAAAATTGTCTTTATTCCTATATTTCCTTCAAGTCATTTGCACATAAACATTTTTTTATTTGATGCAGTATTGAAACCGAAGGCTATGTTATCACTGCATTCATGGCATTATTTACACAACTTCAAAACATCATGTGATAAGACAAAACATGCATTAAAAATAAGCAACTCAAAGCAGCCAGTGATTCACTTACAAAATACGTGCCTTTTTCACTGTTTACTATTATTTGAATATATCCTTTTCCTTTGTAATGCTATTGCCTTGAGCATGAAACATAGCAGCTGAATTCCATATGAGTACCTTCCTGAAAGAATAAGCTAACGACTTCAGATCAAAATAGTGCACAGATGAAAAAAGTTCTATTGAAGATAATGACTAATGCTCCCTCTGCTCCAGATGAAACTTATTTATTTCAGAGCATATCTGAAGGCACATCTGAAGGAAACTATCACCCTCATTCTTGGGGGATAATTAAATGTGATCCGTAGAGCAAAATTGAAGTATAAAATATTCTGAATACACATGGAAGCCTGTTAAAACCTTGCCTAATTTTATTCACATTAACAATAAGCGTTACAAACTTCATCATACACAGTAAACATGGGCATTGTGGATTAAAACAGTCAGACCAGCACTTTTCAGTTGTCATACCAATAAAATAAAGCTCCCTAGAAAGTTGAAATTTTGGCTGCTCATTTTTATATGCACGACAAAGCAGGAAAATGTGTAAACTGATGATGAAAAATATACTCCATAAAGTGCTCACTAAGGATATCCAGTGCTACATCCATGCAGAATATCCACGCATTCATGCACGTGACAGACCCTGGCTCTGTGGCAACATACCCAGAAGAGAATTTCATTTGACATTGCAGGACTTCTCCACTGAACAAATGGCCAGCGCTTGCATGGCCACCCAGAAAGCGAGCACAAGATCTCTGTCCCTCCCTCTATTCGCTCCTGCCCATCAGCACTGCAGTTCTCAAATGGAGCCTGGCTATGAGTGGGTGGCTTATTTCAACTCTGATCTGGTGTACCTAGGCTGCACAGCTGCAGAGGAAAGATTTAGGAAGCAATTCACTGCTGACCTGCATATAAAAAGCCAAAAAACCCAGGAGGATGAATGAAGCTTTTTAGGCCTGCTCCAACTATGGCGTGCAGAGATAACTATAAACTTCAGCTGCTGTAGTGCCTGATTTACAACAGTTGACACAGCAAGAAAATCAGGGATGTGACTGCTTATTCTTTATACTGGAAATTAAATACATACTCAAAGGTGTAATTGTGTCGTTTTTCAAACAGCTTGTACAAGCTTGTACCCAAAACAAGCTTGAGCATGGGGACAATCCCACTGTCTTAGTGTTGGACAAAAGGGGAGAGAGAGAGAATTTGAAGTAGGATCTGACAAGTTCTCTCACTGGGCAGACACAGCCTTGTTCCTCCCACTCACAGCAATGCCCAACAAATCCCAACATAGCCTTTTTTTTTTTTTTTTCTTTTTTAATAAAATCTTTCCTAAAAGGCATATGGTATGGGTTGTCATGTCCAGACCAAATTCAAAGTGGTCCCCTTGTAAGACACTAATTCATTACACTCTGTTGTTTCCAGCAACATTAAGGGGAACATGTACTATAGGATGTAATGTCTGTTTTCTGTATGGGGTCACGGGAAGTCTAGCCATTGAGATAATAAAAGAGGAACAAGGAAAACAGCCCTGTTTGACCTGCTAGCTGTCGGTTTTTGGAAGAATAAACACAGATATACGGCAGTAGGCTTTTCTTGTAGGAAAATCTGCACTGATTGCTCACACTTCATATATCCAATTGTGTCTAAATAGTTTCTGGCAACAACAAATAGGTAAGACAAAGTAACAGGGAGAGTAAGATACAATCTTCAGTTTTAAAGCTGTTCTTTTTTTCTTTTTATTATAAAACTTCTAGAATTTCCAATTTGTTCAAGATCCTGGTATACTGCTGTCCTATATCCCTTTTATTTCTGCTATTTGGCCATATGTTGACCATGTTTTTTATGAAGCAAAAGAAGGCAAAACTTCTTTTACTTTATTTGGACCTGTCCTGCATGACTAAGGTCAAGATAAATATTGCTTTGTAATTTTAAACCTGATATTTTGCAGATAAATATTCAAAGAAAAATACCTGTACACTTAAGTTTTAATTATCTAACATAAAGCACTTTATTTGGCTTCTAATGGCTGAAGTAATTCTGCACCCCTAAGCAAAAGGAAATGCTGAGCTTTTCAGGCAGGAAGTTTTCCCATCTGTATCTGCCCTGAAGGTACTAGCCTCAAAGGATAAATTTCTCCCCAGGCCCAAAGGAATAGCATGCCTGGGTTGGAATAAGGAATTACAAAGGACTACCAGGATAGGCGTGAGGGTCACCAGGGCACAGGCTTCAAGACCAACAATTTGATACCAACCTGCCACAGGTCTCCCTTGCTGGCAGCTATACAAAAGAGATGATGCAAGGATCTCTTTTCCTAACAGTAAACAGGCTCACAAAATATCAAATCGTGAGCCACAGAGGGAGGCAGCTGTGGTCACAGACTTTGTGCCCTTTTTCATTCTAACTGAAGGGCATGAAAATATTCTCTCGCCATTGACTAAAACATATTGGCTTATTCTGAAAAGACCATCTTGCATTGCTACAACACATTTCCCACTGAGTTATCTCTCAATGAGCGCTCATCTCCAATAAGAAAGTGTGTTCGTTAGGATTTAGAGGAGCTATAACAACAAAGTAACAAGATGCAATAATTTGTTCTTTGAGGATCAGGGGCCTTGAGCTCCCTCTCATAAAAGGTAGGAATATAAAGCCTTGGTTTGAAGAAATGCTCACAGAGTTATTGCATCTTGTAAGGCCAGAACAACCATCATTGCTAATGTGTATCTTCCAGACATATTAAACAAACAAAGAAGCATCCATTGGAGGAGGGGGATTAAAAAGAAAAATCTGCATATCTTGCTTTTATATCTCCAGCAAATACATGTCTATCTGTGTATGTCCTCTCTGTACAGTCCACAGCATGTGTCCTACAGCCCATGGTACAACTGCCAAAAAGCACCAAAATGGAACAATTCAGAGATTGACTGACTTTCTCGGTAGAATTCCATAGTACTATAGTTCTTAGGCAACTGCACTGCTAGATTCAAGTGCGTGGCAATGCTTCTTGTATTACTGTTGTTTATTCTTTGCAGTCCTTGCAAATAAAGTTATTTTGTAAGAGGTAAATAGGTAAATATGCAACCAGGCTTGTAAAATCCCATTTGTAAACATGCTGTAGAATTCACGAATGCAAGTGTGCCTGAGAAATCACATGAGCCTCATTCAAGGTGTCATTCGTTAACACCTGGGTTCAAAAGAGAGCAAATCCTAATCACATAGGCAAACGAGGCACTACTTTGTATTCAGAGATCCTGTATATTAATATCTTGCATTAAAAAAATTATGAGCTAGTACAATCTTTTGTACTTTATGGAGAATGAATTCATCAGACATGACTGAATAAAACATATTCTCTAATTCAACTAAGACAACAATCTGTTGTGAAGCAAACCCATTTACCTCTGATTTTTGTAATCTAGAACTAAATTCAATTTACCTCTATCAAGCAATTTCTTACCTCAGGTCCTGGAGGACCCAATGGTCCATGGGATCCAGAATCTCCAACTTTCCCCTTTAAAATTCGAAACAGATTTTTGATTATTATTTATTTTTTTAGCAACAGATTGTCATGAAGATTTTAAAAATGTTTATCAAAAAGAAAGCCAACAAAAGTGTTGAGATGACTTTTCCACTAAATAGGAAATTTTATAACTGCCTCTCTTTGGATTCAATTAAGACTAGTTCTTCATATCTCTTCGAAGTCACAACAAAAAATGCAAATTACATTTAGAGAAATGAAATTGAGAGTTTTGGAATGGTCCAAACAGTCATATAAAAACCCCCTTCAAATACATAGCTGCTTTCATAATAAAAACAATGTATTATTTAAAAGTCCAGGAAGTAACTATTATGGATATTGGTTTACATACTCACCTATGAAGTTTAAGAATCCAATCATGGCCAAAGAAATAGCAGTTTTGTGATTAATAATAGTAAAATTGGGTCCTGTCCACTGTTATACTGACTGCATTATATACAAATACTGACACACCTAAACACTGACCAAAATATTTCTTTAAATTATATCTGTTCTTCCATGTTTTTTAATGTTTGCTGCTGCTGCTGCCATAACTAGGTGTTCCTTGGGCAAAATTAAAACCTGACCTGGAAAATTTTTTTAATTAATTTTTAACATAAATGATTTTATTGTAAATGTATTCTACAAAGTTAAACATTATATTACTTGCAAGACTGAGGTCTCATATCTTAATATAAGTCAAGAAGTGGTCACATTCAGTTTGTGACTGTTCCACAACTGTTCAGGAATGAGCTAATTTACGTGCCTATCTTTAAATGAAAATGCTTACATCTTAAAGGCAAAAAGGCCAAGTTTTCCCATCTAAGCTTGAGCAAATTTGTGTAAGTTTTTTGCAGGATTATTGCTTATATTATAAACTCTCTGGGACAAAGAAAATATTTTTAACAAGTTTAAGGGCCTATGACATTCATGAGGTCTAAGTAGGTTTATCAAATAGTGGCTTGATTGCACATATGGAAATTGAGACTGGAGTGATTAAAAAAAAAGCAGTAGTGCTAAAAACTGGTGAGGAAAAAGCCAGGTAACCCTGTGCAATGCCTTTTCTGCCTCAACAGCAGAAGTGACAGCACTGCACAGATGCCTTTAGAGTTGCTAAAAATCAGTAAATACTGGAATTCATGACTAATCCCATCCCTAGGAGAAAATGACTGGCCATTGCTAATAAGATTTCCCACACTCTCTCCAAATCCATCTTGTCCAAATGCTCATCTTGGCAGCTCCCAAAGCCCTCAGTGTATTTGTTTCAAACATTACCAACATGTCCATTCCCCCACAAAGTGACTGTCACAGAATACCTAATATCCTAAGCACTCCTGTGTTAAAATCTGACACATATACTGATCTCTGTGATAAAATCTCACACTTAGGATCTGACTCACTCACTAACCAGTCCTGAGAAATTAAAGCAGCCTAGACCTTATTCTTTATGCGTTTTGAATTAGATAGCTTCTAGAGTATTCTGTGCAGTGTGAACACAAGATACAAAGAAGTATCAAATATAACAACATGTAGTGATATATTGAAAGCAAAAAAAAATTAAAAAAAATCAGTGTGTAAACTTACTGGAGGTCCTGGCTTTCCTCTGATCCCTGGGGGCCCTGGTAAACCAAGAGCACCCTGAAAAAAGAAAGCAATTAAATACACATGAAAATGTATTGTTATATTATGTTGGAAGCAATATGTTGCTACACTTTGCCACCTGAAACAGGCTTCAAAATAATTCTGTGGGATGAGAAATGCCTTCTAACATTCAACTTTCATCAACAGAGTTCTCACAGGATATGCTTATTTCAGTGACTTCTGATGTACAAGCCAAGTAGGAAAGAAGATACTTATTTATCTCAATTTCATGATATCAAGGAGCATGCCAGACCACGTGCAGCTGCTAACCCCTGTTGGTCCAGGTGAGCTGCAGATGAACCTCAAGGTTCAAGGGAAAAATATATTTTATAACAGTTTCTTGGCAGTTTTCAGATCATACCATAATTCTTTTCTTTTTTGATCCATCTCTGAACACACAGCAGCTAGAATTCTGCCCATGCCCTTTATTTGTCTTTGTTCACTACTTTCCACAACCAAGTTTTAATTAGCACAGCATTTCTTAAAAATATTTTAGTTCAGTGGTATCCGGTAACTTTTACTACTGCATTCTACTTTTATGCAACTGACTTGTTGCATTTTAAGAGACTTAGAAGCCTGAAATTGCACAATTGTTGCAATTGTTACTGAAATTGCACAATTTTTAAAATTTGTTTTTTAAAACAATGCAATTATAAATTACCTTGTCTCCTGGGTACCCCTGGTCTCCTGGCTCTCCTGCAAGGCCACGTTCACCCTAAACAACATATTATTTTATACAGACATATGTATGTGGCTTAAAATGGTGTAGTTATTAGAATTGGAGAATGAAAAAGATTAATTCAATATTTAGTATTTAAAATTAACAGAGATCTTGCACTGAAGCACCCCTTCCCAGAAACCCTATAGACATAGCACTGGATATTGTTAAGCCCAGTGGTAAGTGTTCTGTCCAGAAGTAAGTTTGTCTAAAGTACCAGATCATAAGACTGAAGTAATTTTAAAAAATAAAAGTCAGTAGAGAAAAGAAATCAAAAGGTAAAGGGAAGGCTTTGTCAAGTACATGATTTTGCTCAAGATTTAATGAAAGGAATCTAAAAGAACTACATATCTCTAAGATAATGGAAATATTTAAGTCACCTTATCACCTTTCAATCCAGGCTGTCCCACACTCCCTGGGAGGCCCTATTAAAATTAAAAAAAAAAAAAACAAAAATCCAATGTTCGTCTATAATTGGAAAGCAGCGTAGGCACCGGGCTGTGGGACTGTTTAGCACCTTACCGTGGGCCCTGGAATTCCTGATGGTCCACTCGGTCCTGCTGGCCCAATGCCTCCCTACGAGACAGCAAGAAAAGCAACTGCATTAAACTTTTGATGAAATGGAGCAACTTAAAGATTGGTAACAGAATGTGGCATTTTCTGCACCACAGGGAGAAACCAAAATCTTTTTCAGGCTAATTTCTTGAGGAAAAAAATATCCATATCATAAGTCCTCCACCTTTACAATTCCCAACCACACCAGCAGAAACATAAGAAACCAAATTTCCCTCTTTCCTGTAGATTATCTATTCAAGGGAAGATAGCAGTGCCTTAGGCAATGCAGAATAAGGAAGCTTTCCTTTGCACTGCAGCTGCACATTCGATGGCTGTTCGAATATTCCCTGTGTCTTTAGGGTTACATGACATCACTACTCTTTGGCTTAAAGGAATTATTCTACCATGAACAGTACCATAAAAAGTGAGTTTTGCTAGGATTTCTCATCTCTTGGACTTCTACAAGTTTTAAAAAAAGAAAAAGAGAGAGAGAGGGAGGGAGGGAGGGAGGGAGGGAGGGGTGGGATTCTTCCAAAACACCAATTGTGCAAACTTAACTTAAGTTCATACGTGCATGCTAACTTTTTCTCCTCTCATGTACGTTCAAAGCCCTTACTACATCTGTCCTTTCTGGGATTTATATGGACAGGTTTATGACTTGAAAAGTGAACCAGAAGTGAAAAACATTAAGAATCTTAAAAGATCAACACAGCAACAGCAATAACATTAATGAAAGATGGTGAGCTAAACATCAGAAATGAGTTAGCAATAGTTAAAACTATATTACAGAGGGGAAAGTCTATCTACTTTCTGCCTATTCTACCTCTGGGGAAAAAAAAAAGACAGTGTTACACCTCTGTAGCTATACAAGTATTTAGCAACAAATATGAATAGAGAAATCTTTTGCCACTTTCTGAGGGTGACATGGAAAAGATGAAATGGACACCTCCTGATTTCTAGTTCAGCAAACATTCATTATTCTCTGGTGACTCTTTCAGCAATGTTAGCAAAAACATTCTTATGCAGCCGTCATCAGACTTGTGGCTTGCTGAAGAAAAAGGAAGACTGATGACTTAGCATCTCAATGGTACTTGGTAAAGGTCTCAGGAAAATTGCCACTCCATATCACTTTAGCTTTCCATGACTGCTTAAATGATATATTCTGTCATGTTAGCTGATGCCAAGATAAATTGTTTACATTGCTGTCTCTTACTCATTCTACATATTCTAGTTCAGCAAGGCATTTCTCTATTTATATTGTACATTGAAATGCATACTTATGGTAACAATAGGATTGACTGAAAAATCACAGAGGGATACTGAGCTGGGAAATATAGCCTTCAAAAAGAAGTTCCAAAACAGTTTTACAAAATTCAGGTTGATGAAGCTCCTGTCACAGTCTCCAGAGATATTGGCTGACCTAATTAACAGCAAACAACAACACAAAAATAAAACTGAAAAATGATACCACTGATAAGAAAAGTCTTGAATTAGTAAGAATGTCAGTTTTTAAAATTGTCCTCCATCTACAACAGCCTCGCTATATTTTAGCACATGCTTATCAGTTTGGTTAAAACTTGCTGACAGATAGAAAACAAAAATTACTTCAGCTACATAAAGTGTACCTTTTCCACCATTTCTATGTGACAAGTGAAACTAAAACCAAATCGCTTTTACCTGTCAAAAAGATAAGATACCAGAAAACTAATCCTTCCTAGTATTAGGTTGTGGGGTTTTCTTAAAGAAAAAAAAGTAAAAAGAAAAGCTGCCTCTGATAACTGTAATTGTAAATTTTCTGAAAGTCTTCATCTTATTAAAACTTATGGCCTTGCAAATCTTGAGAGACTGACTGCTCAGCCAGCCAAAACTCTGAACTTGGCAAGAGCTTTATATATTGAAAAAAAATCATGGAAGGAATGAATTCTTGGACTGAGCTTGCTGATGCTGCTCACTTTGCCATTGTTTGCATGAACAAACAAAATATAATTAGCTCTTGACACTGCCTGCAGCTGGGCTGGACAAGTTATTTTAATGCTGTTGGTTTCCACCAGAATAATATATTTAATCTCATGTTTAATATTGCATCTTGCAATAGTATAATGTGTTATAATTACTAAGTATTTTAGAACAAACATTGAGGTCTCTAGTTCTTTACTCAATTTTGGATGACTGCTAGCATCTGCTTGAATAAGGGCCATGTGAAAACAGAGGCCAGGGTGCACAAAACCATTTAGAGAGCAGCTGTGGTCAAGGAACAGAGCTGCACCACACAACCTGTGTGGATGCCAGGGTCACCTGAAATTCCCCTGGAGTCTTGCTGAAATTCTGCTACAGTTTAAAGAGCGCAATGGTCCCTCGTAGAGAAACTCTGGAACAAAGCCATGCTCTTCCAATTATCTTACTGACTGGGAAAGTGGGAACCAAAGTAACTAACAGGATGTAATACAGAGACACAGCGGAGGGCATAATAGTAAATTTTACTGATGATACCTACTCACTGTGTTAGTATCCAACAAAGACTTGTGCCACTAGATTCTAAAGTCCTCTTAAGCCATGTTCTGACCTTATTTCAAAATCCCAACTAGACTTGCTGATGCTTTGGAAGCTTCCAGAGACTGTTCAGAAATCTGGAAGAGATGTCACTGGCCCATCTCTCTCAACTGCAAAATATTACTATACTGGTAAGGTCCTATCAACCACAGAGTGTTAACTGCCCCTGAGCTGCATTTCTAATATGTCTTGGCTAAATAAAAGAAGATATCTTTAAAAACACCTTAATAGATCCATAAGATCTATTAAGCTTTTGGAAGGATGCACAATGACCTTACCTTTACAGAACCACATTTCTACATCACAAGCACTTGTCCATACATGTTTTTGTTCACACATTTGTCATCCCAAGCACTAAATTCTATTAAGACCAGAAGCTCATTTGCAAAATTATTTCTGCCTCCAAAAATGTTGTTTTCAGCACGTATACATACACCTCAGCTATAAACACACAAGTGTAGGGATCAAAGGAGCTATCTGCTCCATAGAAGACCCCTAATTCCTTGCAGTCAAATGGAGCTGCAGCAGATGATGTAAAGTCTCAAGCAGTTCTAGGGATCAAAGTCTAACTCCAACAAAAAAATGTGAATATTGGCACACTCCCTGTAAAAGTCCTGTTCCAAATTGTCATATTGTGAAACTAAAAACTATACACAGGAAGAATTAGCTTAGTAATTGTATATAATAAAGAAAGAAAAGTCAGTTTCCATGCTTTGCTTTCTTGTCTTTACTTTGAATACAAGTTATGTAGAGCACATGGGCACATAATCAATGCTCTTTTAAACAGCTGGAACTGTGCAAGAGAGTCCCATACATAAATGAGGGAGGGCAGGCCACCCAAATGGAGTTCACAGGCAAAACAACTATTGATTTCATGCTGGTCAAAATCTAAATATGCCATAAATTTTTATTCCCCCCCCCCCCCCAATATAGCTCTCATTATGTTTATGTTTCAGCTATGCACAAGTGGCAAAGGCTTTGGCCTAGTGCTTGAAAATAACTTCTATATTTCATAAAAAATTATTGACACTCAGTCTCTCTGTGTGAGTGCAACTCAGCAACATGGCAAACACAGCTTTGACCATGCAAGCTTTTATGCTCATGAATTCTAGGGAGAGCTAAACTGCTGACTAAGTTTTAGTCAAAATAGCCAGTAACAGTATCTTTTTAGAAGTGATATATAGTAGGCTTTTTAAAAAAAACTCAGATACATTTGTACAATTATCGAAGTCCTTGAGATAAAATTCCAAAGATGGTCATGTAAGAAAGAAAAGCAATCTACAATTCTCAAGAGTGCAACCTCTGGTCTCATGAGTGGTTCAGTTGGCTCAAATATGTCAACTGACAAGAACACAATGAGTCATGTTTGCATGACGAAGGCTCGAAGCCACAGGGGTTCCTTGACCAAGCTTGTGTATCTTCACTATAGCAATGCCATAACAATCCAAATCAGGCAGCAAGAGACTTCTTGTAGAAATATTTTTTGTTATGAACATACCATTAAAAAGATAATAATAATGGAACTCAACAGTCATAATTCAAATAAAAAGTTAGATGACCATCAGTGTAAACTAAGAAACTTATCAAGAATGTTTCAGATCTCCAGATATCAAAAAAAAAAAAAAACACCGGAGACAATCATGGCTTTCTTAATTCAACTGTAAACATGCTATTTTCTCCCACATGTTATGAACTATGAACACGGCTGGGTAGCCAGCCTTGATTGAGCCAACATCAAGAATCAAACCCAGGTCCTCTATCAGTAAACACACTAATTACTTAAAATAAGGGAGTAAGACTACACAGTATGAAAGTATCAGTCTTTCCCACCTCCTGTAGAACTCATTCACGTCACAGAGCTTCTCTGGCACAACTCTATTTATGCAACTACAGCTTGCAACTCCATAATGAGCATCACAACCTTATTCTGAAAACATTCACACTTTTGTGAATGTGATACTGTATACAAGATAAAGTAATTCTGCTTAGGAATTAATCCTGCTTTGAATTTGGTAGTCATATACAGGAATGAATGAGGGCTGGGGATGTTAAAATGTCTGATAGTATTGCACTTTTTCAAAAAGTAACGTTGGCTTTAGAAGTATAAACTAGCAAACTTGGTTATTTCAAACAAAAATAGCCAGACACATCAGATCAGAAATAAGCACACAAATCCCAACCAAGTATAGAAGTACACCATACCAGCAATATGACCACAGTTTTGTAGAGTGATTATAATTAAAAACATGGCTAACTACAACAAGATCTGTTTAAATCCCTGGATTCTTATATTTGTTTTTCTTATTTCAAACATACAAGACAAATATTCTAATGAAGCCATATCAAAGTAAGTAATAAAAGTATACTTACTCTAAGTCCTGGAAATCCAGGAGGACCAACACCACCAACAATTCCCTTCAAAGAAAATGAATTTTAGATTATCTCAATGTTACCACTTTAAAGAATTCCCAGTGATAAACAAAAGTGATCTGCAAAGCAAGTCAATTGGGATTTTTGTAGAGAGTTCCTGAAGAATGACAGCTTATCACTGTATAGGGCAACATGCTTACTAAAATCCCTGATTGCGGAATTAGATCTCAAAATATTTGCATCATGAAATCATTTCTGCAAGGAATATGAGATGTGTTACCATGATATTTAAAGTGGGAAGAAGAAAAAAGAATTTTTTTGGAGTGGAAAAAACCTACCACAAGAATTTATTATTAAGATTCCTTTGACAGAGAAATAGAACACCATCTCAGTTCATAGAAAGACCTTTGCAACTTAAAGGCTACACTCTCTTTATGAAAATTTTTTTTCTTGATACAAACTACAGTATTTATACAGTACTCTATGTAGAAGTAACAAATTCAATGGTGCTCTACTACCGCCTCTGCTGCACTCATGTTTAACTCAGCAGAGGCTAAAAACCTGAACACCACGAAAAACAGATGCCAAGTCTTTTTGCCCTGTTGTGAAAGGGGTATTGCAGCCCTCTAGGTCAGCATGCTTTGTGCAGGCTGTCCTAACACCTGATACCTGCTACTCAGTGGAAATCACACACAGGGTTCACTGCAGCACATCGGCACCCACAGTGACAGGGAATTTTTATACAAGCAAATCTGAGCCCTTTCTGAAGGCGTCCAACAGGGCATGTCTGCTGGGCATGGCAGAGAGGACACCTTCTCTTCCCTCCTCTGGTGCCTATGCACCTTCTCCAACCTGCTCCAAACTAACCACAGGGGAAGCTGAATGCTTTAGCAACATCCTCCAAGGCAGACTGACATCCTCAGAGAATTGAGAGGGTGTTGTGGAAATTAAGGATGGCATTACTCTGTTAAGCAGAAGAAATTAGGCACGGAGACAAATATCATTAGTGTCAAGTCAGCCCATGGGAAGAAATGTCATCCCTTCAAGTTCCTGCCACCACAGGCCTCCCAGGCAGCCCTTGCTCTCCACTGCCAGCTCACAAACTGGCTCTGTAAATATCCCATTAGCATTGCAGCCCCCTGCAGCTGCAGCTCTGGCCCCTTGCCTGAACAAGCCCTGCAGGGCGACTTTTGGGGAGGAGGGGAGAGGGGTTGCTGCCTGTCTGAGAAGGCAGTAAGATCAGCAGCTGTCTTGGCAGATTAGAATGAACTTGTTCGCAGATGCTCGTGTTGAAACAGACTTCTTCGTACAGTGCAAGTCTCTAATTTCAGATCCAGGCTTTCTAAGCTTGTTTCTGTTAAAGCAGTGCTGTTCTGCAGATCTTGTGGAAAGAGCATATCTGCTTTATCAAGAAAAGAGGGAGATTTGGGAGTACCAGGAGAGGAAGGAATAACTCGCCTTTTTATATCATTTGCAAAGCAGCTGGTGACACTCATAACCCCTCAGAGGGCTTTCAAGATGAAAAGCACCATACTGACATCACCTGACATTCCCACAAGGGAACTTTGCCTCAGGGACCAGAAATGCAAAAATCTTTTTTCTCCTATGTTCCACAATGTGGACACCAAACATCAGTAACCCACCAGCAAAATTCAGGTAAACTTTTCTAAAATAAGTTTCTAAGATGGGTGTCAGGAAAGGGCAGGTCTGCAAAAAGGAGACCAGCTCTGCCCAGTTGCTGACTGTGGTCCATATCAGACACAAACTTTTAGACACAAACTGATAGCAGTATCCAAAGGAGCATCCAACAATAAAAGCAGATTCAAATCAGCTCTCTTTTGCCTAGCACTTATAGCTGTTCATTTGTCTGGCCCAAAGCCCTTTCACTGGTTTCTCATATCAAAGGAAACCTGAGTTTGGAGTCTGCAGCCAGTTTCCCTA